TGTTATGGTTGAAGCTGAAGTATTCATTGACAGGTAGGACATTGCAATGTATGATTTTATATACCATGCTTAAATCAGACCGAAGACGGCGTAATTCAAGGTTTTCTAGTTCTAGAATTTCAAGTCTGGTGGCATAAGGTATTCTACAACGAGTAGAGGAGTGGAGAACTCTTCTTGTGAAATATTTCTGGACTTTCTCAATTGTGCTAATATCAGATACGTAATGTGGGTTCCAGACTGATGAGCTGTATTCGAGTATTGGTCTAGCAAATGTTTTGTATGCTCTAGTTAGTAGTGTGATATTACCAGAGAAAAAGCTACGTAAGATTAGGTTAACAACTCTTAATGCCTTTTTGGCTATGTAGTTGCAGTGGGCACTAGCACTTAGATCATATCAGGAAAGATTCAAGCAAAGGTTCCCATGGTTCAAGGAAAGGCTCCTGTTGCCTCCTGATTGATGAGCAGAAGGAGAGAACAGATAGCAAACATACGGCTACCTGGCCCCAAAGCACCAGTGGAAGCATTATGGGGGCTGAGTGGTCTACTAAATAGCATGATGTTTCAGGTAGCTTCAAAATAACTAAACTAAAATTATCATTGGTTTTACAAATGGATATTTTTTCATAGCAAATGTTGATTTAAGTGGCAGAGAATTTTAATTTTATAACCATTTATAGCATTTTATATATTTTTATATACAATATTATAGCCTATAAATATCAGATTTTTAATTTCATAATGGTCAATGCTTTATAATTGCAAAATATTTTAATGCTGAAACACTGTAGTCCCAATTTTCAGTCAATGTTTCCTTCAGAATCACAGGTTTTACTCATAAGATGCTCTTTCATAGCAAATGCTAATTTAAGTGTCAGAGAAATTTTATTTTATAACCAGCATTGGCCTATAAATGTCAGAATTTTAATTGTTTAATGGCCAATGGTTAAGAATTGCATGTTTTGATGCTGAAACACTGTTCTAGTCCCAATATTCATTCAATATTTATAATTTTTTTGCTTTAGCCAATAAAACCAGCAAACAAATCAATTTATTTATTTATTGTTTTGTTTGTTTGTTTGTTATTTTGTCAAGAGCTTACAATATAACAGAAACAAGAACAAACATAAGTTTAAATACAAGAAATAGGAACTTAATAATTGGGGACAATAGGACAGGGACGGTAGACACGATTGTAATAATTATGCTCTTATTCATGTTTAAGCATAAATTAAGCATCACACTATTTTAAAGTCAATGTTTGGCACATTTGTCCTATATAATTTTGTTTTGTTTTTTTTAATTTGGAGGTAGCTTGAACATTTGGAAGGGCAAGCTACTTTGAATCATGATAGATTTGGTGTCCCTTTTCAGACGAGCATGCTGGATCACTCAGAAACTTAGCAAAGGCTGCTCTGAGATTATACGTTACTCCAAGAGTACATATAATTGCTATTTTTGAAATATTGCTTCAGTTCCATATACTAGTTCTTGTTCATTATTGCGATGGATTTTTGGGTTTGGGCTTACTGCTTCCAGAGTAGCAAGGCTGATTCAGTCCCAGAAATGTAAGTGAGCTAATGAATCATTAGCTGAGTCTTTGAGACAAGCATATGCTACAGGTACTACCCTTAGATATTAATGCTTTGCTATATCTATCCGATTAGTGCTTGAAGTTTGGAGGGCAACATCAATACATTTTGCACATTAAATGTGCATTTTATAAAATAACTGATAGTACTATCCAGACTGGTTTTCTTTTTCAAAAGTTTAAATATGATAAGCCTTTCTGAACTATCCTTTTATTGGTCCTCATTCAATGTCATTGTATGTCTCTGAATTTTCAATGCTGCAAAGTATAAAATTATCTCATTTACCATGCTTGGTTCTATAAAACTCTATCATGTCTCCAAGGTATCCTTCCTAGGCCCTCCGGATTTCAATGCTGTATTTTCACTGTAGGAGAAGTGTTCTAGACCAGGGGTCCCCAACTCCTGGACTGGGCCTTGTGACTTTCAGAACTGGGCCACGGAAGTGGCAGGCAAGTATGTGTATGCATGCACGCATCCCTACATCCCCATTTGCACAAAGCCAAAAAGTTGGGGAACTCTGCTCTTAACCAGTGGAATAGCTTGCCTTCAGAAATTGTGGCAGCTCGATAACTGGAGGTTTTTAAGAAGAGACTAGACAGCCACTTATCTGAATAGTATAGATTCCCCTGCTTGAACTGGACTAGAAGACCTCCAAGGTCCCTTCTAGATTCTATTCTATTCTGTTGTTCTGTTCTGTTCTGTTCTAATTCTATTCTATTCTAAACCCTTAATCATCAGAAAGTATATACAGCTAGTCCTCTACTTACAACCATAATGGAATCTGTCAATTACAGTCACAAATTTGACGGCTATGACGTGAGATGCTTACGATTGCCTTGCTTAATGACCCCAATCCCTACTCTTCCTGGTGCAGTCATTAAGTAATTGTGTGGGTCGTTAAGCAGAATGCCTCAGGGGTAGGGGAAGCCCTAGGAGGCCTAGCACAGGCCCAAGCCTGTAATGAAGGACCACCCCACTTCACACATGGCCTGTCATGGGCATCCCAAGGCCTCCCCTACCCCCTGAGGCACCCCATGCTCTGCTTCTCTCCCCAAGCTGCAGGCCTTAGGCCTACTTACCCATTCCACTGGATCCCCACAGGCCATGGGCTTCCTTTTCCACCCCACAGGGTCCCTGCAGATGTTCCACCAAGAGGCTTTCCTCCTACACAAGGAGGCCATGTGATGCCATCCTAAAAGCAGAGACCATTTTTGGAGCAGCCACAATGAATTGCAGTTGCTCGCAAAAGACACCCGCTTCCAGGACAGTGCCCTGTGGCCTCCAGGGAGGTCAAAAAGCACAGTGGCCTAGTCTCCTTCCCCAACAAGAGATTAATTGCAGTGCTCCCAAAATAGCACTCACTTCAGAGATAATACATGTGGAGGGAGCTGAACAGCGGAACGGCTACTTCTGGAAGGAGATCTACCAAAAAGGTAGAAGGAGAATGCAGGAACCAATGAGGTGGGAAATAGGCCCCAAACCTGCGAAGACCCAGTAGGACATAATGGGGGGTGGGTGGGGTGGAGGCAGAGAGAATGCACTGCATTGTCCTTCCAGTCAGATGTACAGTAAGGGGAGCTTGCCAAGTGCCTAAATTTTATTCCCATGACCATGGAGACATTGCAGTAATTGTAACTTCAGGCAAAGGTCATAAATCCCTAAATTCAGCACTATCATAATTTCAAATGGTTGCTGAAGAAATGGTCATAAATTGAATTACTACTGTATCCTAGTTCACACATTGCGTTAGGCATGCTTTATTTAATTACATTTTGTTCAGTGAACTTCAGCTACCAGTTTCATGCAAGCTACTAAATCATAAATCCAAGTTTACAAACTGTGGTGGCTCGACTCACCTAAATTAAAATTAGAGAAGACACATTTTAGTATGCGTGTACACTAATCACAGCTATGTTGAGTCTGAATCAAAAATGAACCTGAATAATTCTACATAGAGGACTTAGAAACTCACGACAGAAAGCTATCAAAGTACAATGGCTACTGGGACAGATTAATGCAGAGTTTTCACTCTAAGAACATATAACCAAGTTCAGTGATGATATTTTGAACACATTATGTGAAAAGCTAGCTTTCTTGAAAAATCTATAATACTGAGAAATGAGTAAAAACTAGAAGAGGATGACTAGTAGCAAAGTGGATGGACTTCATTACAGCAGCATTGTTGGAAGACATGGAGGGCTAAATTGGGAGCACATCATTCTGGAAAAAATCTATGGGGTTGCTGAGAGTCAACACTGATTTGATGGCACATAGTCATCAATCAATTCTTATAGAATACCTTCTTTTATTATATTGATTATTATATTGATTATAATGGCAAAGGCTTCTTTTGTCAACTTCAGGCACAATGAAGCATCTATCAAAGCTGCTCTCATTCCATTTTAAACAGACTGTGTATTCTTTCGTGAAGGTCATCAGTATTGCTGATTATAGAGGAAAAAAATGTCATAATGAAAACCATTTGAGCTACAGACACAAGGCAAACATTCTTATTCAATTCTCCCTCTCCAGGAAGTTGGACAAAATACATTCTGAGAATTCAAAGAATGTCACTCCATTTATATTTACATATAGAACTGCCAGGGATTGGAACTGGTTCATTTGTCCTATTATTATAGCAAAAGAATAAATGTGAGTAAACTTTTATTTGGGACTCATCAGAGTGTCATATATTTCATCTTCTTTAAGGGAATGCTAAGAAGTTGTAAAGTTTTACAGAGTTTAATGCCCTCTGTTTTGCTTGGTTTATTTTGACTCATACCAGTTTAAGACAGGTCATTAGCAAGGCTAGCTGAACCATAAAGGCAAGGCTAGAGCTAGCCTGTGGCTTGCTGTAGGCTGTAAATCAAAGCCAAATAAACCATGCTATAATTCAGTACTGTAGTGAAATGCAATTTGTCCAGCGAGGCCTCGTGTACAATAAGCAGGTCAAAGATCAATTCCACCTGTGGTTTATTCAACGAACCAGCCTTTGCCACTCCAAACGCCGATCCGTTTCTAGGAAGGCGAGAAGAGCGAGGCAGGGTCCGCGGAATAGGAGACCAGGCAAATTTAATCCTGGCTCAAACGTGATTAGAAGCGAGGCTTTGCCTCTACCTCATCCCCCTAAGGAGGAAGAGGCGAGCCAAACCTGAGCTAAAGGGCTCGGCCGGGGATCGAGAAGAGGGAGAAATCGCACCCAAGCAACTAGGACCTGCTGCACAGATTTTCCCTCCTCGAGTTGGTTTGCTTGACAGTCGCTTCTTCTTTCCTCCAGCCTGAGCGCGGCGCAGCCGCTGCCTTCTCCTCCTCGACTCCTACGGCTCACCACATCCGATCGGAGCGAGAAAGGAGGCTGGGCTCAGCGCTCACGTTTTCCTCCCCCTCCTTCTCCTCGCCTCTCTATTCTCCCTCCTCAAGGCTTTGTCCAGCCCCTTGTGAAGATGGCGGGGCTGAGCAGCAGGACTAGCGTGGCAGAGGCGCCGAGAAGCAGCGGCCGAGGGGTCGTGGTAAATGAAAATTCCCCCCCCCCTCCCGGATCGGCCTGCCGTAATAGCTGTTGCAGGCGCGATAGCCAGCCCGGCTCCCCTCCCAGTCCCTTCAGCACCCCGCCATCCCGCCCGACCACGCTTCGCTCACCTGACACCCCCCCCTCCACTTCCCCATCTTCCTGGACTTCAACCTTTGCTTTCTCCCGCCTCGGTCGTTAGTTTAAATGACCCCGGGGGCTTTTTAGTATTTATTTCATCGTTAGGGTACCCAGAATGAAAGCACGTTTGAACCGAAAGGGAGCTATCTCTATGAAGCCACGCGCTGGGGATAAGTTCCTTGCCACGAGTGGGATGGCAGGTTTTAACAATTGCATTGCCCGCTACCCAACCATGGAAGGCGAAAGGGCTTGTTTTTTTCCCGGAGAAATTGGTAGCCTGGGGTTGCGGACTTTTAACTACAGTAACAGCATAGAACGATCTCGATCCTCTTCCTAACTGAGTGTCACACGATCGTCTTGTGGGCACGAAAATCTTTCACCGATTCCCTCCATAGTGAATATGATTTGGAATACGACGATAGCAGAGACACGTCACCCACCCACCCCGCTCCCCTCTCCCGTCCCTTAAAAGCCACGCATTCAGGATCTGCATTCATGCATCACTTTAATCGCATCAGTTCTGCTAAAGGGATTATTTGCACGGCTTCCCCCCCCCGCCCCCCCCCCCACTTCCCCCATGATCTGGAGGAGTTACACGTGATACAGTGTTGTCCTCTTGCGTAATTGGTATAAAGCTTATGAAAAGAGGTGGAACCATTCTTGGGGTTCCCCCCCCTCAATTCATTACACTGATTGACCTGAATAAAACAATCCTACCTTCAGAAAGATGTGGGTGGAAGATTGTACTGTTTTTTAGAGAGATGATTTGAAGGTTCTTTAGAAAATGCTTATAAAGGGGCATTATAGCTTTAATACCATAAGTGCTTCAGTATTCAATATACGTTGACTTCTTAAATAATAAATATGGCTACCTCCTGAACACATGAATCACAGAGTAAAATTCATATGTGTTTATTTAAAAGTAAACACCCTTATGAATGGACCATATGACCAATGCAGCTTTGTTAACTTGGAGGGGAGAATAGCAAGGAATATTGGGGATATTAATTGTTTAAAAAATTCCTAAAAGAATACACTTTTATAATACCTCTCAGAAAACTGCAGTGTAGACAGAAGGAGTAAAATTTGACTCAAATGTATTGTGACAGGTAGTCCTTGACTTATTATCATTCATTTAGCAAATGTTTGAAGTTACAGTTGCCCGGGAAAAAATGACTTGTGACCACTCCTTGCACTTATATCTGTAGCCCCATGGTCATGTGATCAAAATTTGGGCACTTAGCAACCAGCATGTATTTATGATTTTTGCAGGGTCCCAGGGTTATGTGATTGCCATTTGAAACCTTCCCAGACTGCTTCCAACTAGCAAAATAAATGGCGGAAGTGAGATCTCCTTAATGACCATGTGATTCACTTAACACTACTGTGATTCATTTAACAACCATGGGAAAAGATTGTAAATGAACTGTCTTGTTTAGCAATGGAAATTATGGACAAAATGCTAAGTCAAGGATTGAACTTCTTTTAATGTGGCTAAGAGGTATGAAATTGCACTGTCACATGATTTAAATTATAAAACCGGCCAGATGAGAAGCAGCTATAGAAAAGGGGAGAATATTCTCATTTTTTTACCTCAGAAGAATCTTGTTTTGTTTTGCAAAAAAAAAAGTCTCTTCTAAAATACAGGTAGTCCTCTACTTACAACCATTTATTTAGTGATCATTTGAAGTCACAGTGGCAGTGAAAAAACTGACATGATTGTTTTTCACACTTATGATTGTTGTAGCATCTCCTTGGTCGTGAACAAAATTTGAATACTTGGCAGCTACCATTTATGACGATTGCCATGTCATGGAGTCATATGATCATCTTTTGCAACCTTCAATAAGCAAAGTCAGTGGGGAAGCCAGATTCACCATGTTACTAAATTAAAACCTACAGTGATTCATTTAACTATGGCATTAAAGGTCATAAAATGAGGCAAAACTCACTTAACAGTTGTCTCGCTTATAACATAAATGTTGCACTCAGTTGTGGTCGTAAGTCAAGGACTATCTGTATAGTGCTTAGGACTAACTGTGCTGTGCAAACCTTTTGCTCTGAAATGTATAAAATTTAAATGCACCTGATTGATTTGTTGACAGAACAGATCAGTCCTATGTGCGCTTCTAAATAAGCCTCACTGTACGCAGCAGGAGTTGCTTCTGGGTGAATATTCTGTAAACGCGGAACTATGTTCTAGCTTTGGTAACATGTTGTTGCTGGCATTAAAATATAAGGTAGAGGATGATAATTAAACTTTAAGTCTAAGGTTTTTTTTTTTACCCAACATATACATTTGAGAAATACGCTGTAGCCTTTTTAAGAGTCTGTCTAGTAATTTGGGGGGAATAGCAATAGGATGGGAAGCCCCAGATTCAAAGATAGATAATTCTTGACTTAAAATGGCAATTGAGCCCAAAATTTCCATTGCTAAGCAAGATATTTTTGTTAATTTTGCCCCGTTTTACAATCTTTTTTTGCCAGGGTTGTTTAAGGAATCATTGCAATTGTTAAGTTAGTAACACAGAGAGATTTAACCTGGAAATAAGGAGAAACTTTCTGATAGTGAGAACAATCAACCAATGGAACAGCTTGTCTTCAGAAGTTGTGGGAGCACCATCAGTTGAGACTTTCAAGAATAGACTGGACTGCCATTTGTCAGAAATGGTTTAGGGTCTCTCTCTTGGGCAGGGGTTTGGACTAGATAACTACAAGATCCCTTCCAACTCAGATTATCTGTAATTTTCAGTACCATTGTAACTTTGGTCACTAAATGAACAATTGTATGTTGATGACTATTTTCAACCCAGCAACCTCTTACTTTGTTTTAGTTTTCTGTAACTTCTCTAGCCTATCGATTGGAAACCACCAGAAGCAATCATGAAATCTCTCCTTCTCTCTCTTTTAGAACAATCATCTGGAAAGCCATATTCATCCAATTTTTAAACAACCAAACGCATAAAGTGGAAAATTTTCCACAAAACATATCGACAAATTTCTAACCCACATCTTTTGTAGGAGGATCTATCTGCAAGTCAGCTCTTGCCACCATATTGAGAAGAGCAAATTATGACCGGTTTATGCAATAAACAATGGTTTAAACACAGGGTAGTTTGCTTTGAAATAAAGCAATCTGTTGGTTCTAATTTTGTGAAGCTATCTTCAATTTTTATATTTTCTTTCACATTTATATATTAATTTTAAGAACATCACTTAATAGTAAGAGAGTGAAGCAAGCTAAAAATCTCTTCAGTTGCTATAGGAATCTCATTTTAGAAAAAGAGGTTATTATTCTTTTTCTGTACTACTTCCCCGTTCAAATCATTGGAAATTTTCTCATGCATATTTAGCTCAGTAAAGAAATTAATATTCTTATGATAAATTATATAATAGATTTGTATACCAGAGCAAAAATATCTTTAAAAAAAAACATGACGTATACTTACTAGAATATAAACTGTACTAATAACTGCAGTATCCTTAAAGCAGAATTTTTCATTAATGTTCTCTTTACAGGTAGTCCTTGATTTATGACTACAATTGAGCTCAAAATTTCTGTTGCTAAGTGAGACAGCTTTTAAGTGAATCACTGCAGTTGTTAACTTAGTAACACAGCTGTTAAGTGAATTTGGCTTCCCCATTGATTTTGCTTGTCAGAAAATCACAAAAGGTAATCACATGACCCAGGACATTGCAACTATAATAAATACATGCCAGTTGCCAAGCATTTGAATTTTGATCACATGACCATGGGGATGCTGCATTGGTTTTAAATGTGAAAAGTCATCTTTTTCAGTGCTGGAATAACTTCAAATAGTCACTAAACAAATGGTTGTAAGTCAAGGACTACACACAAACACACATACACACATATATGTTTTCTTATGTTTTCACGGGTATTATATGTATGGTATTTGGGTTTCTTCGGGTATTTTCCCATGTCTTAATAGTTGTGCTTTTAAAGTTATAGCGACATTTCGGCAGAATCTCATCTGCCATCCTCAGGCTTGTGTATTGGGTTTTTTTTTTCCTAATCGTGTGTGTCAGGCTTTAGCAGCCATTTCTGTTTGAATTCACCATTCACAAGAAACCAAGCTGCACTAAAAAAACCTGATACACAAAACACAATGTTGCCAGCTGATCAAAAACACAGCAACTCGAAGACCGACAAACACAAACCTAGACTCCCAGCCAATCAGGATGAAGAAAAAACCATTCAAATAAAGCACGAAGCCAGCACCAAATTCAAACAGAAACGACTGCTAAAGCCTGACACACACGATTAGGAAAAACCCTACATAAGCCTGAGGATGGCAGATGAGATTCTGCCGAAACGTTGCTATAAAAGCACTATTATTAAGACGTGAGAAAATACCCGAAGAAACCCAAATACTATACATACATACATACATACACACACACATACATACATACAGTATTTAATATATTATGAATACCTCTGAGAAGTTATGTTCCCCTTACAGTGAAATCTAAAAAAAAATACAGGAATATCACTCCTATTTTCATATTCCACTGGACGTGTGTGTGTGTGTGTGTGTAGATAGATAGATAGATAGATAGATAGATAGATAGATAGATAGATAGATAGATAGATA